GCCCCTCCGCCCGCCGCCGCCCCGCGGCCCGACCGCGTCCTGTGGGGAAACCTGGACCGTCCTGTGTGTGTCCCCCGACGGGGGCGACTTCCTCCATCCAAGCATCGCCCCCTAAAAGCCTCCGCACTCATGCCCCTTCCGTGCCCACATTACCGGTTTTCTTTATGCGCGGGGCTTTTAACCATCAGACACTCGAGAACTCATTTCCTGAACCAGACCTATCCACCATTTTTCTTCTCACAGGCATTCACTGAACTGTTGCTCTAGGCAGCAGCATGTGTCTCAGCTTCATGTGGAAGGCGACAACGGGAGAGAAAAGCAAGGCAGGGACAATGGGGTCTCCTGGTTTTACTGATGTTTTCTGGCATTTTGTTCCAGCTGCTACCTTTAACAGGCTTCTGTTCAGCTTGGAACACCGTTCGGCATCCCACTTTTGTGACAGTCCAGCAGCTCAAAGCCCTAAAATGGGCCTATGGTCTCTCCAGGGATTTCTATCCCTTCCTTATGCCCACCCTAATGCTTGTGCAGACACACACGAAGTTCATCCAGGGAACTCGTCTGAAAACGTGAGTATATTCGGTACACATGACCTTTACCATAATGAACTCATTAAGAACCATAATGAACTGACAGCTCATGCAGTCACCACTGCAAGTGATTCGTAGAACACGTTAAGAACTCGCCAACGAAGTTTTAGTTGACAAGCAGGTATTCTTTATTGCAGCACTGGGAGACACAGGGGAGATCTCCTCCTAAAGTGTGTCTCGTTTAAGCATCGAACAGACCGTGATTATATTGGTGCTTAACGTACCTATTCATTACATTTCCCATAGATGTCATACATATGCATTAGTTGTCCGAGAGTTGTTTTAAATGATTCCACGCCCATTTTCGCATGCGCATAACAACGTGGTAGTGGTCTTCGGTGGTCGTTTTACTTCTTCCAACGATCTTCATCACTTGGCTGTTCCTTGAACTCTTGTTGTGGAAGTCTTTGAAGCATGCGCAGTAGATAATGCTTACACCAGCTTAATTAGTTCACTAATATTACTGACATAAGCGAGTGATTTCTCCTCGTCCTTCTACTTATCGGTTAACTTCGCTACAGCACCTCCTGCACATCTGCTAGTGTCAGATACTCTCTAGCTGCAGTCCTGTTTTGGTTACAATAAATATTGCACAAAGGTCATAAGGTTCAAAAACTATGTCAGCTACAACGATTTATCTTATACAAGGACCCTTATTATGTTCTTTTGGTTGGGCTTTTTTAGGTTTGGAAAGTTCTGTTGTTATGTACAAAGCCACCAAGCTTAAAGTTACTTCAAACTGAACTTTCTTACTTACAAGGGAATATATTTCATTTTGTACTTCCTCATCTCACAAGGAAGAAGTCTGCTGGGATTACAGCAGAGGAGATGTATGTCAGCATGAGATATCCTGTGCGGTGCTGAGAACGCTGAAAAGCAGTGGACAGTTGCGGTGACTACACACTCAGACATGAAGCCAACTGCCCCTACTCCTTAGCTGCCAGGTACAGACTTCGCAGAGTAAACTGGAGATTTCTGGAGTAAGTAGTTTTCTAAACTGCCAGGATGCTGAATCCCAGAGGACAATGGCCCAAAGGTGGGCTATTGCTATACACGTTGCTCTTTCACATTTCATAGCTGCACCATGTCTTAAGACTTAAAGGGAACCAAAGACACTCAGAATTTGTTTTAACTAGCATCTAAAGTTGGTTTACTCTCTCCTGCCATAAGACGGCTTTGCTAGAACTGCAAAACTGAAAACATAACGGAAATTTCATTCGCTTCCATTTTAAGCTTGACTAAAATAAAAAGTAAGCTCAGAAAAAGAAAATAAAACTAAATTATCTTCCTTACCACCCCCACTAAGAAAGAAGGATATATCAGCACTCACCAGGTGATAATAATTGATTTAATTTTTATTTAAGTTATCATTTAAGTTCTGAAAGTAATTTTTCACTTGCTTCGGAACTCTGAACCTTCTCTGGTAGGTTGTTGTTAGTGTTCTTTAAACAATTATCAGGCTTCTCTGTTTTACTATTCCCAATTCACAATTAATGGTGTAGTGCTACAGTAATAATGCCAACAGCAAATGATTGTGTAAACCTTGCAGACACTACCACCCACAATCCAGTTTCTCACATCAACCTCGAATTTATCCATTATCCAACTTAACACCTAAATCGGTGAGCATGTATAGCCACAGTTATGGAAGTGTGGCTCTGATGGCAACTCATCCATACACTTCTTCATATTCCTTGTATTTTTTTCCTTTCATAGTGTATACAAATGCATGTACAAACAGCTCTTGACAGAACTCTACCTCAGCAGTGAATTAATTTACAAGACAGTAAAAACAGCTTACGTTGTTACTGTTGGCATGTTATTTTCAGTCTTCAAGGCTTAGCAAAATCAAGATCATGCAAAAGCAGTCTCATTGCGTTCTACTGCTTTTTTAAGCGTGTTCCAGTTGCAAAAAAGTAACTAGGTTCTTCTTCCGTCAAAAATATAAAACTTTTCAGTCCCAAAGCAGTGTTCCCAGAGAAATAGATGAATGAACATGTATTTGAAAAAAGAAGCACAAACAGAACATAGTTGGAACATACCTACAAAGTTTGATCTTGCTAAGTAAAGAACATATTAACTCAGGGATCTATTTGTTGGACTGTATTTCTTTAAAGTATTCTGAGGCATCTCCTCAGGACTGGTGCTGTTTGTAGGACAGTACTGGAGACACTGGCAAAACTGGTGTTACTGAAGTTGTAGTTAACACGTGATTCTGGAATATAAACATTTTAATCCTACCAAACACCCAAAGGAAGATAAGGAGAATGCTGACATACTGGATCCAGGCAAATTTAATCACTTCCCAAAATCCTGGCTGATATTTAAAGAAAGTCAAGGAGTGTTCAAGAAGAAGCTTCTGCTACTACCACTGCAATAACTCAACAAAGGAACTCCAAGGTGGAAAGGCAAAACATATTGTTAACAAAACTTGTTAAGACATCAGTTCATGTGGCGAATGCAAAGCTTTTTACCATAGTATGCAACAACAGTTGCAGAGAATGTCTATCCTAGAAGACATTTAAATCAATACTGTACAAAGTGCCTAGTTTGTCCCTGACTCACCAGAAAGTAGTTATTGGTAGTACTCAGGCAGGTAAACAAACCTCATAAGAAGTGTGATCAAACAATTTTTTTTAAACACAGGCTTGTTCTTGTCAGAGAAAATAAGTAAAAAGCATAATGAACAAAGAATTATTTTATAGGGGAAAAAAAAAAAATCAGGTATGTCTGCACATGCAACGTATTTGCCACATCCACTGCAGAGGTAGTTATGATTTGGTGAGCTTACCTTGCATTCAGATGTCTAATGATTTGCTTTAAGTCACAGAATACAGTATCGTGCTTTGCTAGTGGTATCTATGACACATTGGGACGGCAGGTGCTGGAGGAGCAAAGCAAGACTTCCGAAGGATATTCACTGTGAATGGCTAAGAAACTCCCATAAAGGCCAGTATAGAAAGGCTGAAAAGCAACGCGGATTCCCAGCAGCGAAAGACAAAAAGTGGTTATGCAAGCAGAACCATCTGGAGGAAAGGGCAGATAGGTATTCAGTTAGCTCCAGAAGTATAGCATTTGCTTAGCTAACAAAGAAGAGGTTCAGCAACAAGTCTAGAAGAAAACAATTTTCATTTGGCCTATATGCGAAGGCCTAAATAATGCAACCCTGTTATGTCACAGTTTATGCAGTTTTCAAAGGATATAATATAACTTCCACTGGGTAATGAATAGTGGCGTTAATGATAAATGGTGTATCTGCTGCTCTTCCAGCCATCCAGAGAGGGTTGGGATCTGCAAAGACTGTTGTAACTAAAATGGGGAAAGGAAACATCCAGGTTAAGGGGCTTTTCAGTCTTAATATATAGCTCAGATCCTCACAGAACAGCTGCCAGTATTAGAGCTGCCCTGTAATTCACAGCCGTACATTCAGGCTTACCATTTCTATCCCAATATGCTGCAATGATGTTTGTTAGATCATAGTCACTCGCAAAGGGACTTGTGCCATTCACCACAGACACCTGTTACAACGAAGAGATACATGCATTATTTGTCCACTCTTCCAAGTTTTTTATGCTAAGTAACCATGCCCTTGAAGGAATACACATACTGAATGTTTTGGCAGAATAACCTGATTCACCTTTCAGCCCAACAAGAAAACACCAGTTCCAAAGTTCTGTGGTCTACTCTGTGCAAAAGTATGAATAATTAGGGTGTCACCTATGGCACTAGGAGGATAAAGAGAGGGGAGAATTGATGGAGAAGGAAAAAAGTTTCCTCACGTTGTATCTGGTATCCAATCCACAATAGTTAAGTAATTGCCTCTGGTTCAGTTTCAGGTCTCCATTCATATAGAGCTGAGACCCTGGCACAGGAGAAAAATACTGAAGAAAAGCCATGCTCTGCATCACAAGCGTTGACATCCTCTGAAACGGTGAACATGAGAGAAGAGAATTTAGGGAGGGGTGGGGAACACAACACACTTTTCTAATTCTTTGTATCTACGTAGTTTCTGCATGGATTTTACTTTTTCCCTGACTCCCAGTTTCAGACTGTCACATTAGTCTAAACAAGAGAACACAAAATAAGAAATATTAATTACATTTTAGGGTTTTTTTGAAAGCGAACTACCTTACTTGTAGTGTTAACTTGTAAGTTAATTAATTTTATAAACCAAACAGTTCCATGGGAAATTCAGTGAAGTCCAGCAATCTGTGGCTAATGACAGAAAGATTCAACTTAACATAACATGTGAAAAGCAGCAAGATAACTAAACACATTCACTGGAGACACACTTTAAAATACTCAAGCAGTCAAAGCCAGCTAAGGACTCCTGCTGTGCAGGAAGGCCCAAATAAGTACCTTCGCCCTTATCAACCACTCAATCTGAAGGAAAATTTTCTTATTTACCGTAAAACAAAGGTGCTGTGAAAATCGGAACTGTCTGTGATACTAATCACTGACCTGAAACTCCAGCACAAATTCAGGACTGTCAGGCCTTTACTCTGGTCCTCATAGGTCTGAGAATGTCTTCTACACCATGCACCAAAATCCAAAATGAAATGAAACCAAAACCAAGACCCACAAAACGTATCAAAAGATGCAACAGAGCTAGACTAGGAATGACTCAGCAGAGGAGGAGAAAATTAAATATTTGCTAGTAAAATAAAACTTTTAGGTAGTAATTTAAAATATGGAAAGGTTCTTTCAGGCTTTGCATAATCACTACTAGAATATTGTATTGGGCCTAAATGTCACAACAAATTAAATTAGAAATGCTCACATAAAGGTGGTAGGAAAAGAGTAGAATCAGCTGAACACCAATTACATGCTCTGTAGGTTGCAGCGGAAGTTCCAATCTAAAATGCAACTGATCCATTTTGCCATCTTGGTTTTTGTCTTCTTCTCTAGTCTAGGAGAACCAGTAACATTTTTAGTTGTTTTTTTGAAAACGGGAACTTCTCTTAGAGAGAAAACCAAAGGTAAAACCCCAGGGGATCTCCACAACTGCAGCATGCACACACTGAGGGAGCAGATGAACCACTGTTAGCAAAGCAATAAAAAGCTCCTTGATTTTATTAGACACAGGACTAGAAGCTGCAGTTTTGTCTGTTATCCAATGTCTCATATGTCCCGCAGGGAGGGAAAGCGTATCAGGCTCTTCAAGGTCTCTTCTGCCCTGTGCCATTACAACCATCTCCCCTGCGTGCTAACAAAGCACACCTTAGTGCCGGATCTTCTGTCACATCCTGTGCAAGCCTGTGACTTACGGTCAGGCTTTTGCCTCTTGCCATTGCAGCCTGCCTCTTAATGGCCTCTGCATGCCAGTTCCTGGTTATAAGCCAAGGCGTGCCACACTTCTGTGCCACAAATACCCAGTGCTTCAGCTATCTGGATGCATAACAGGACCGTAACAGAGGAAATGCAAAAACGTAACTGCCAATGTTGAATCCCAGAAGGAAGAGCTGCAGGACAGAAGCCATGCAGCTTAGAAAGCACATACCTGCTTTGAAAACCAGGGGCTACAGAGCAACCCCGGCAAACTTCAGACCATGATAAGCCATGTGGAGCATCAAGGCAGTAACTAATTTGAGTAAACTGATGTGTTCATGCAAACTACCATTAGTGCTTAGGGACATGGTTTACTGTTGAATAGGTACTGTTAGGTTAATGGTTGGACTTGATGATCTTAAGGGTCTTTTCCAACCTAAACGATTCTACAACACTGAGAGGAAGTAAAACCGGACTGGTTAAAAAGCACTTGTCCCGAGTGAGTTCCGGTGTGAGGCACGAAGTGACACATGAAGCTGCTGCTACCGGGAGGCAGCAGAGCAGGAGAGGCCTCCTGCTCACAGCACCACCAGCACTAGCCCCGGCCCTGCT